AGTGCTGGGATTAAAGGCGTGCGCCACCAACGCCCGGCTACAAGCTAACTCTTAATGACTTGAGTGCCTATAGATCAGGGATGAGATGCATTGATTTGATGGTATTTCCAGGCAAGAAAATATATGAAGCACCTGGCATACAAGGAAGAGGGTAGAGCTTTTTTCCTTAACTATCTGTTTTTTTGTACTCTGTGTGTTTGTTTCTAGTCTGAAAGTAGCCAAAATGCTCAGAGAAGATGCTAATGGGAATGAGTTTCTTTCTTTTTTTCCCTCTAGAACCTGAGTATAATTGAAAAGGTCTCTCACTCAAGCATGATAAACCCCAGCTTGCAATGGCAGACACTGAAACAAAATACGCAGATTGCCCATTTTGAGTATCAGATCCGAGTGACCTGTGATAACCACTGATATGACTTTCATTGCAGTAAGTTCTGTCGGCCTAGAGATGACTCTTTGGACACTATGCCTGTGACCAGAATGGCAACAAAAACCTGCCAGGAAGACTGGATGGGTCCTGAGTGTAACAAAGGTATGTGTCCATGCAGCTGGATGGATTGACAAATGCTATTGGCTGTCACTTTTGGTGCCAGGTTCTCACCTGACAGCAGTCAGGTGGCAGGGTGGGATGTTACTGTTATCTTAGACCAAAGCATGAAGATGCTGTGTGTAGAAGATAATGTTGGTGCCCTGTCCAGATCCCCTTTACCAGCTGGTGCTCCCATCCCCAGCTGCTGTGACTGTTGGCTCCTAACAGCTCGCAGCTGCTCCTTGTCTAGGGAGTTGTCCTTGGCCAAGCAGGAGCCGCTCTTCGCCATCCCTGCAGTGGACAGTTGCTAAGTGACTGACACAGGGAGAGGGTGTTACAAAGGCCGCCCCTTGCTTTAACACTGTGGGATAAGATTCACACTCCAGAGGTTCTCCTGGGATCTCGCTGAAGTCAGATCCCAGCTGAGACCACATCCTTGCTCAGCTGCTCCTTCAGCCTCGTCCGCCTCCCCATTCCTTTCTCCTGTTACCACATCTCCTCAGACTCTGCTTCTGAGGAGCCTGATGCCAAACAGGAACAGACAGTGCCATGAGGAGTAACTACCCTGAGTTCATGTGTCACTGCAGCAAGCTTCCCTGGGCATCTTTGAGGCTGTGGCATTAAAGGGGGGAGGTGGTTACCTTGTATTTTCATATGCCTTATAACTGAGGAGTCTAAGCCTTTTGAGTCCCTACTGTCTTTTGTCCCTTCTACTACTAAAAATAATAATTCTGGTTCCTAGCAATAGAGTTGGGGATCCCAGCTCATACACTAATCCCCTCATGGACATATAATGTGCCTTGCTGATTTGCACAATAATTAGATAAACTCCTTTATTTATCTTTGAATTGTAAGGGATGGGGCATGAGAGGGCATGTGGTCTCTTGAGCAGTATTCCTTTCTTCAGTCGCTAATATGACAGTAGTTTGTTTAAAGGATGGGATTGATGACAGCAGGAATTTCTCTGGCTATTTTAAATAATTGTATTTTAAAATTGAAAAGCAATTGTGTAAGTTCTCTAATGTCAGTGTTTTGTTTTTTTCCTAAATGTCTACTTGATTTCTTCCTTCCTTCCTTCCTTCCTTCCTTCCTTCCTTCCTTCCTTCCTTCCTTCCTTCCTTCCTTTCTTTCTTGCTTTGTGAGGCTACTTGGCTACAAGACTAGCCTGCCTTGTTCTTTAGCCCCATGAGATTGTTGAAACCAGGCATTTGATGGGAGGCTCACCCGAAGATCCTGTGGTGGGACGGTGTTTGAGTAGGGAAGGAAGGATGTCCTTTTCTGTTTCTTGGTGAAGGGAACATGGTCCAGGCAAGGCTCAAGGAATAGACATGATACGGGATTCCCCCATCATGTATCTTCATTTTGTGCCCAAACAGTTCTGTATTTTGAAGATCTGCTAGCATGGCCTTGAAGTTTAAGCCTGGATTTGTTATTTGGGTCCCCAATTTTATGTACTAGGCCATTCTCATGACAGTGGCCCGCAAGGTATATGCAGTGTTGTGTACTAATGAAACTTTATGTTTTTTACAGCTGTATGCCAACAGGGCTGCTTATAGCTGTAAAATCCCAAGCATGGTTCTTGCAAGCTCCCAGGTGACTGCAGGTAAATGACCAATGGGTCTAAAGCAATTTCTTCCTTTTTCTTTTTTTCCTCTTTGATGCAACATAGAGACTGACTTCATTGTGAATGTGCCTCTTTTTCTTTGGAGAATGAATAATTCGGGGGGAAACAAAATAGGCATATCTCCTGGCTCCTTTGCAGGCGGGAGCTGGGCCCGTGCTGAGAGGTTCATGACTTTGCTGGAATCTGCTCAGTTGAGTCTGATGAATGTAGACTTTGCTGCTGGCCTTTGAAGTCCGTTCTTTATGCTCTGGGACAATATTAGAGCCAAACAGAAACCTAGCCTGCCTGTTTCCCCTTCCGATGCTGGTTTGGGGGGCTTTTTGAAATGTACATTATGCCAATTTGGAAAGGCCTTGTTTCAGGAAATATCTTTGGTGTTTGTAGCATTTTGCCTGGCCTCATGCTTTTTTCTCCCCGAGCCTTTAAGAATTAGCAGATCCAATGAGACACTAAGTGGACCCTTCTGGAAGGCTGCTCTGACTTGAGCCAAGGACAGTTTTTCAACAGTCAAAAGGCACATGAGTGCTTTTAATGGTGCTCTTACTGAAATTTTTTACATTTTATTTTTGAGGGTCTGTGGTGGACCCTAGTGAGTTGTATTGTCCTAAACTATGGAATTAACAGGGAACTGTTGGAAGTGTAGGTTGCTGGTGCCACTCAACTGTCCCTGACTTCCCAGCACTTAGTTGAGCCTAGGAGTGTGCATTTAACAACCACACTGTTTGATTTCTCCCTCAGTGAACACTAGGGCTGCTGCTTTAACTGCCTGGTCTCCTATAGGCTTGACCTCGATGACTCTTAACTGCAGCCTGTGTTCTCTTCCGGAGCCATGGGAGGGCTGACTTGAGGCTGAAGAAAGATTCAAGGCAGCTAGTAAACTAAGAACATGTTGTCCTGGAGTTGTTTCTTCCTGCTTTCTGAAAGCTGATTTGCAGGAAGCCTGAACAGGATTTGCCCACTACAGATGTGCCTGGTTGCAGTTGACTGTGGCATCTAACAGCATCTCTGTCCAAGACCAAGCAGAAAGCCACCTAGAGTGACTCTGCTAACGGAGGCTGTTCTGGAGAAACTAAGGGTGCCAGTTACACTAGGGCCTTGAGCCTGCTCCCAGCTGAGATGAGTCTCAGAGAGGTCAACTGTCATCAGAATAAACACACTGCTGGACAGGGGAGGTCCCTCCGAGCCAGAACAACAGGCTTCGTTTCCAGAATTGAGCCCTTTCTCTTTCAAAGCCTCACCTCTCACTTCCTGCCCAGACACGCACCAGTGCCCTTATCTACCTAAGGGGCAACTTTCCCACACGCCCAATTGCGTAGTCTTGCAGCCCAGTTCCTTCTCTCTGCCTTGAAAGAATATCAAAACAGGACCTTCCAGCTAAGGAAGTTCAGATTGGGTCTGAAAACCCCACCCCCAACTCAGGTAGACTTGGGTTGCCCCTTCCTGGGCGTACAGGCTGGGTTAGTGCCTGCCTGCCAATAATATTAAACTTAATTCTGAAACTTCATCTCAGGAAAGTCATTTTCTCATGAGAATGCTAATCATCTATCATTACACTGGGATAGCCGGGTAGATGTCTCCATTAGGGTCAGGATTTTTATTTGTTTTCATTTGAAGTCATGGACTCCTGTGGTTGCTTTTTTTTATGCTTGGTATTTGAACCTCATTAATTAGTAGGTTAGGTTGGGTCCTCAGCTGTTCTGCTTGGTTATTTTGTTTGTTTTTTTAAGATTTATTTATTGTGTATACATTGTTCTGCCTGCATATATGCCTGCATGCCAGAAGAGAGCACTCATTATAGATGGTTATGAGCCAGTATGTTGTTACGGGGAATTGAACTCAGGACCTCTGGAAGAGTAGCCTGTGCTCTTAACCTCTGAGCCATCTCTCCAGCCCCGAACTGCTTGGTTTTATTAGGCAAACTGAAGAACCATAACCATCCTTCACTTGGGACATTGAGGGAAGACAGTATTGCTGTGGCCCATCAGTTCCCTTATGTCTTCCAAGCCAAGAATAGTAATCTGCCAGAATGGCTCCCCATTCTCCTGCCTCCCGTTAACTTGGGTATCTGCTTCTGAAGGAAATTATCCCCACCAAATGACATACTCTGTTCTTACATCAGTCTTTTCAACGGTCATTTGTCATTCAACTGATGGCCTAGTTTACAGACACCAGAAGCCTGTGTCTGGCTAACTTTAAGCCCCACATTCTAGTGGCTGTCGGTGTTTCTCAAGGGATCAGTGGCTTTTCAGCCTGGGTGATTAGCTAACAGCTAGATTTCTATCATTTTCCCATGGCCAGGATTCGCTCTTTGCCCCCAGCTCTCTGGAATTGAAAGAAACTCCTTCTGGTTGGGGAGGGAGGACCACCAGGGGGTGTGTAAATGCCAGATCCTGTAAGAATCTGAGTGCCAGCTACTACTGTGATGGCCTTCCTGGCTGGCTGGGTCAGAATTGCTACATAAGTGAGTGACCTTGTGTCTGTTTTGATTTTTGTGAAACTTGGGTGATGGTGGCTCTTGTTCCCCCCACTGCTCCATTTCTGAGACTTCTGTTTCTCTCGCTTTGTGGTGCTGGGGATGGAATCCACTGTTTTGTGTGAGCTGTGTAGGCACTCTCTGGCTGAATAGAAGGAAAACCTTATAGTATAGTGGGAAGGGATTGGTTTTGGAGAGGGAGTGGCCAGGTTAGCACAGCAAGGAAAACATGCAATTTATCTGACTTGTTAGTGTTGTGGCCAGGTCAAGTCCCCCAAGCAAGACCACCACAGAGCCGATATCCGATGCAAGCACACAGAGGTTTTCAATAACAAAACAAGCAAGCTTGGCCCGCCATCCAACATCCGACACAGCAGGTCCTATGCCCTGCTTTTGTTGAACCCAGGATATATACATTCAGATTTATTGTTCCAGTCCTACTCTCCTCTGAGGTCAACTTCTAGTCAGTTGAGTCCATTACTCCCCATATCTTGTTTTGCCAAGTCCAGGATGTTGTGCCCAGATTGTAACCCCCCAGAGAGACCACCAAGGACGAGCATACCAGAATGCAAAAGCAAGGTTTATCTGTTACAAGTCATGACAGGGAACTCAACTCAAGCCATCTCAAGTAAGGCAGGGAAGAGTTACTCTTTCTTGGGGAAGTTAGTTTTTATGGGCAAAACCCATAAAATTTCTTAGAGGGGAGGGGGTTAGTACGGGTCCATCCTTGATTGGTCCAGTTTTTCCCGGGCCTGGACTTTATCTTATCTGTTTGCCCTGTCAGGAGTTTTACAAGTCCTCTCCGGGGTCTGGTCATGTTATCTCTGGAGAGGGGCATCTCGTGGTTAATTGGTTACCTTCAGACATCCTTGTTCCTGGGGCTAGCGCCATCATTTCTGGGGACTTGAAACTGGCCTGGGTCTATCTATATTGAGATATCTTTGTCTAAGACCCCCTTTTTGAGACAATAGAGTGAGGGTCTTGTGCCTAGATCACGTCCCAAAAGCCACCACTGGAGACTTTAGGTACAGAATGCAAAAGTAAGGTGTTTTCTAAGTTTACAAACCTCCAGGGAGGCTCTTCTAAATCTCTCACTCACAGCAGGGAGGTTGGAAGGAGTGCTCCCCTTTCTTTGTGAGGCTAGTTCTTAAAGGCACAGACCATATAATTTATTTTAACCCGCCTCCCTTTTTAGTCTTTTGGTCGAATATCCTGACTCTCTGTTTTCCAAAGTCCCTGTAGCAGATACAGCCACCTAGGGAAAAGGGGTCTAAGTTCTTATCTACACTTAGGAATCCTGGTTTAAGCTTCTCTTTGTCTGTAGGGGACAGAATGGGGGGTTTTACTGAGGTGTCACACAGGATACATAGATTTATTGTCCCAGCCTTAAGTTCAACTTCTGATCACTTCTAAAACTGCTGGTCAGCAAATCCCTTTGGAGGAGGGGAGAGGGAAGCATCTCTCAAGATGGCTACTGATTTTTCCCTTTCATTAGCTGTTAAAATTGGGCATATCTGATAAGGTGATTAAAACAATGACGTGAAGTTCCACTCCCTTGTCAGGGAGGATGCGGGAGGGTCCCCACCCAATGTAATAACTTTATCTCACTGGAAGCACAGGGAAGCCTCTTCAATGTGATGGCTTGTTTATTTTTTTAGATATCAATGACAGCCATGACCAAAGTCAGAACAACATCTCTTGTCGGGTACGTAAATCATTGCTTAAATGGAAGCAATCTTAAGATTTATGTGATACTAGGAGAACCTTGTCCCTGTAGGATTAAAAATGCAGGTGAAAAGCCAAGTCCCTCACCAACCCTAGCCTCCTGTGAGCCATTTAAAGGCATGAATTCAGAACTGCTAGTCCATGACAGAGCTAAGCATGTGGCCATGTCAGCGAATTGCCAGAGCCACAGCAGCCATGATAAACCACTGATGTTCTGTATTTGTAAATACATAGAAAAATGCCCGTGTGTTTCTCGCCCCTTCTCCTTTTCCAGGATTTGGTTAATGGCTGTCGCTGTGTCTGCCCACCTGGCTACGCAGGCGATCACTGTGAAAGGGACACCTACGAATGTGCTGGCAACCCCTGCTTGAATGGGGGCCACTGTCAGAATGAAATCAACGGATTCCAGTGTCTGTGTCCCGCCGGTTCCTCTGGAACCCTCTGTCAGGTGAGTGGAGGCAAAAACTGCAGATCGCCAAGCTTTAGCGTTGAAACCTTTTCTCCGCCACCCTCCCTTGCCCCCTCCCCATTGTTCCTTGCCCTCTCCCCACTCTAGTGCTTAGGCCTCTGACATCCTGTAGCACCCTGCTGACTAGGGAATTTCTGCTGGTAGAAAGGGGAGTTGATGAATGAGTTTCTTCCTGATGACTGTGGTCATATAGGTCTGTTGTGTGTAGGGTGCCTCCGTGGAGAAGTGGTTGGGGGGGTCAGTTGTTTACTGCCCAGAGACGTGATGGTGACACCCTTGTTTTCCTTTGAACCTCTCCTTCCTGCTCCTGTCCCTCAGCAGCTGGACGTTGATTACTGGGAGCCCAACCCTTGCCAGACGGTGCCCAATGCTACCATCGTGCCAGTGACTTCTTCTGCAAGGGCCCTGAGGACTAAGAACTGCTCACACCTGAAAGACCACTGTCGCACGACCCCCTGTGAAGGTCCCTCCCGTCCCCTGGACCTGTCTGTCTCTAGACCACCTCCTGCCACCTCCCCTTGAATAGAGGAAGGCTTGCTTTATCTGACCACTTAGGAAAACAAGAACATGTGGAACTAACCTAATGAAGACTATAGAGGTCCAGCTCCTTATATATAGCCTTTTCCCAGAGTTCCAGAAGAGATGCTACCAGTGGTGAAGAATTAATCTGAGGGATGTTGAGTGAATCTAAGTAAACTGAGCTCTTTAGTTCACTCTCTTTATTCTTCTAAGTCAAATTCTACAAGTGCTGTGGAAGCAGTAATACTTTGACAAAGGGTCATAAAGAGAGGTGATAAGATCAGCACAAAGAGCAGTGATTGTCCGCTTCATTTACAACCCAAAAAGGGAGTAATTAAAGGAGGTGAAGTCAGCTAAAGACTAAAATGGGTTAAGAGATCAAAAAAGGGAATTTATGTGTTCAAACAATATTCTTAGAATGTTGTTTATGTGAATAGAATATGTGGTTAGGCAAAATGTTAGGAGTTTTATGTTACTATAAGTCATGAGTAAAATAAAACTGCCTTTTTTTCCTTTGGAGCTGGATCTGTCTCAGCTTATCTCTGCTGTTTTCTGGCAGGTTGGGGAAGTGTACTCACTAGCGAGATAGCCTTCATCACAGCTTGATGTACCTGGTATATAAAATCCCTTTTGTTCTGAGTTAATAGTTAAAGGGGGAATCTTTTTTTAAGAGTTTAATAAAATTTTTTTATTAAGAAAAATTTTTATTCATTTTACATACCAAAGATCCTCCTCTTCCCTCCTCCCGCCTCTCCAGCCTCCCCCTCCCAACCTACCCCCAATTCCCTCCTGCAAGAAGGTAAGGCCTCCCAAGGGGAGGTACATTTAGTAGAGGCAGATCCAAGGCCCCCCCCCACCTCAAGTCTGTGGGAGGTGTCCCACCATAGGTAGTGGGCTCCAAAAAGCCTGCTCATGCACCAGGGATGGATTCTGATCCCACTGCCAGGGGGCCCTTGAAGCACATCAAGGAACACAACTGTCTCACTATGCAGAGGGTCTAGTCCAGTCCCATGCAGACTCCACATCTGTTGATCTAAATTTCCTGAGTTCTAAAGGGGTAATCTTTAGAACTTAGGAATATTACTTGGGATATGGGAGAAAGAGAGTTTAAGCTTAATTTGCACAAGATACAAAGCTATGTATCTAACATCCACCTGGCCTTGGTAGTTGTCTCAGTATAGATATTTACCTTATTTCAGGAGACTAGCAAGTGGTCTGAATGCTTATATATCTGCAGTCTATCCTTGGATGTTTGAGAATTATCTCAGATAAAATACTTTTGTCCAGAGATAATCCTGGGCAGATACTTGCTAATGAAGATAATTACAGAAAAGCAGGCTTCTGAGTCTAAGTCTAAAAAGGAGAACAAAAGCCTGAAAAAAAAGGGGTCTTGACTATGTGACTGTTATCAACACAGTTGGTGGAAGTTATCCAAATGCTCCAATTGGATAGGGGAAGTTGTGCCCAATGAATGATCAACCTCACTGTTAGAAGTTCTTAGAAAAGAATCAGATGGGAAAGCTACAACAGCACACGAGAGATTCACTGCAGGAAACAGCTAATACGTTCAAAAGCCAGTATCACCAATGCTTCTTGAGTTTTGCCTTTATCCTCTGGAGGGTCCCTTGGCTCTTCCAGGTATCAGCTTTGCCATAATCAGCTGAATTCCTTCTCCATATTTTTGTGGCTCACCAGCACTAACCTGTCAGGCTGCCAGGTGGGAGACCCACATGTATGAGTAGCCCAAGGGAGAGATTGTGAAATCCATTTGTCATTCCATTTCAGAGGTGGCCAAGTTTGTGACATAAAGAATTGTTCTTGCTGGGCGGTGGTGGCGCACGCCTTTAATCCCAGCACTTGGGAGGCAGAGCCAGGCGGATCTCTGTGAGTTCGAGGCCAGCTTGGGCTACCAAGTGAGTTCCAGGAAAGGCGCAAAGCTACACAAAGAAACCCTGTCTCGAAAAACCAAAAAAAAAAAAAAGAATTGTTCTGAGGGGCACTGTCAGCGGCACTGTCAGCGGCCCTCTGTCGCAGCGGGGAAGTTTGGGGTTTGCGTAAGTTAGGGTAGCCATAGCTGGGTGTTGACCACTACCTTTTAACATGTCGCTAGTGCTTGACACTTGTGTGTGTGTGTGTGTGTGTGTGTGTGTGTGTGTGTGTGTGTGTGTAGTTCATTTAAAAATAAGTACACTGGCCTATGGCTACTATATTGGGTAGTGTAACTTTAAATTCGTATAGTTGTGTTCTTTAACTTTGCTTAAGATAGAGACTCTGAAATTGTCCCTGATCCTGAGCCAGACTCTCTGGGACCAGAAACAACCCCTGTCATGTGGAGTTGGGAGAGACCATGTCTGCCTGGTGCCCCGGGAGACGACTGTCTTAAAAGTCCGGCATCTCAGCCATAGCTTACCACACTGTAAAATGACAAACTGTCGCTGCAGTTATGAAAAGGGACTTGTCCCCACAGTGCCCCTCTTAGGCACTTAATGTAGGTGGGCCACTGTTGGCGTTCTTCTGTTCCCTTGGTGATAGCTCTTCTTTTTGAGTTCATCGGTCTTTTGCCTATCTTACAGATTTCCTGGTTCTGCTGCTGAGCTCTGTTGTAACAGGGGCTTGGGTCTGTTGCTTGGCGACAGCCTTGTTCTGGTGTGTACGGAAGCCGCGGAAGCCGGACAGCCACACTCAAGCTGCCTCCGAGGACAGCACCTCCAACGATGTATGGGAACAGCTGAACCAGATCAAAACCCCATTGGAAAGGCTTTTCTTCCTTAACGTTTCTTGCCAAGGTTCCCCAGTGTAACTATTATCGTGTTGGGAATTGTTCTGTAAACCAGGGCATCCTCATTCATGCACCATCCCGGAAAGCGTGGGAGACATTCTTGCCTTAAGTTCCGGCCCTGTGAAGGCACGGAGGCCATTTCCCCATTATTGCTACCTATCTTCATGCTCAGTGTCTTTTAGTTTCTTTTTAAATCTGACTCACTTTACATGTGGGTTGATTATGTGGAGAAAGAGACTTTACTATTCTGACAATTTCCTCTGGGTAAATCATTCTCTGTCCTTCAGCCATTGCGCTCAGCTTTTCACACTTTGTGGATATTTCACAACTTTTCTCCTGGTGGTTATGCCAGCCTTTTGTTCCTGACTTTTTCCTCCAGGAAATTTTTTCAAGGGAATCTCTTAATACTATTCACCAGGCTTTTTGTTCTACATTTTCCCTTTGGACTTTACTTCTGCCTCTTGTACCCAGAGTTTTCTCATGGAGTCTCGCCATGAAAACTGGGAAGTCTTCATTGTCCGGCTCACCAAATCTCTTTGCACTCGAATCCTCTCAGAGCCTGGCTCCATCTGCGCCCTAGAAGATGAAGAAAAGAGGAGGATATGATACAATAAAGAAAAGGCTCCTCATTACTGCTCTTAAAAATAAATACATGGATTCTGTTGGGTTAGAAAGGAAAGAGCAATCATCCAGGAAGTGTTTGCGCCAGAGGAAGACTGCACAGCCTAGAAACAAGTACCCATAGGGGAGTGATGTGGTCAGAGGAGGTCACAGTGTGACTAAAATCTGTTATCAGCCTGTGAGAAGTCTGTTGTACTGAGTACTTCAGAGTTGTCTGTTCTTACTGGGTAGTAAAGATGGACAGAAAGCTGGATTTCTGCCACACACAATATGAGTTTCCTTATTGGCAAAGACATTCAGGAAATTTCTTTGCAAGTCCTTTCATGTTTAGGAGCGGTCAGCCTAGGACCCCACTAGAGATCCTGGATCAGTGGTTCAGAACCTTCCTAATGCTATTATTACACTTTAATACAGTTCCTCATGTTGTGGTGACCCCTAACCATAATGTTGTTTTGTTGCTACTTCATGACTGTAATTTTGCTACTGTTATGAATCATAATGTAAATATATGATATGTAGGATATCTGATGTGCAACGCGCCCCCCCCAAAAAAAAGAGTGGTGAACCACAGGTTGAGAACCAAGGCTGTAGATGCAAGACACAAACATGTTCAAAGCCTGGCAATGATGCTGAGGAAGTGCACTTGTTAGTTTTTGTTATCAGACTGATACAAACTAGTCACCTGGAAAGAAGGGCCCTCAATGAGGAATTACTTAGGTCAGATTGACTCTGAGCATGTCTGAGTAAGATTTTATGGTCTGTTAACTGAGATGCAAAGACTCATCCTAAAATGGGCAGAATCATTTCACTGGGGCCTGAACTGTGTAAGTGAAGAACAGAGCACAGGAAGAGGCAGGTAGGCAGCATGGGTCCATTTGTTCCTCTCTGCCCTTGACTGTGTGTGCAGCGTGACTAGCTGAGTTCCTACTTGACTTCTGCAAAATGGACTGTAACCCGGGCCTGTGAACTAAAATCAGTTCTTCCCCCACTAAGTTGCTGTGCCTGGGAACTTAATATATTCATAATGCTGAGATGCCACTCTGTGACACAGATGTTGGCACCACTCAGAGAGATGTGAACGTAATCCATTGCATGTTCAACATCAGCATATTCATCCCAGAGCAGGAGATTCTGCTTCCCCTTGAACCCAACTCTGTGTTTTCCCATCCCAGTTTTGCAAAGACAAACACACACCCACTGACACCAACATGTAACCCTGTCAACAAACAGCTCCAGATAGTGTCTTGCTATATCAAGTGCTAATCTTTTAAATAAAAAAGCTGACTTTGTGATTGGAATGTATTTTTCTATGGACTTTGTGGCCATATAATGTTGAGTTATGGAGCAACAGAGCTGAGATCACAACCCTAGGTCGAATGTCAACCTTATGCTGTGCTCTTCCTTGTAGATCAAGATACACTCTAACGTTCAGACCAGAGAAGCACCGCAACTGCCAGGTGTGCCAGGTATGCAGAGTGTGTAACTAAGGAGTAGCAGTCTGTCCAGTATTTCTTTAGTCCAGAGTTGAATAACCCCAGGTCACATCCCTTTGAGGAAATCTTATCTGTCTTCTGTGCTTCTTTAGAAACACTTCTGGAAACAGATCTTTGACAAACTTCCACCTTCAAAAACAGATACAAGTAATGAGAAGGGGAAAGTCACCATGATGAGGTCTTTCTCTCAGGACGTATGACAGCTACTTCTGGGCAACTTCAAAGGCCATCTCAGGAGTCTACCCCCTTTGCTCATGAACTGTAATAATCACATATACAGAAGTAGGAGGCAGGCCTGAGCAACAGAGTGCAAAAACCAGAAGTCCAAGGAGGCATACAGCTGGGACACCCATGAAATGCTCTGTTATGAGATAGTGGCATGGAGACTAATGGAATAAAATAGAAAGCCAAACATGAGTAGTTGTACTACAGCCACTAAGAAAGACTACTGGGGTCCAGCCCCTCTCCATATAGTCTTTTCCCAGAGTTCCAAAAGAAAAACTACCAGCAGCAAATTAATTAATCTGAGGGATACTCAAGTCTATGTATACAAAACTCTTTAGTCCATTCACTCTATTCTTCTGAGTCAGCTCTCTCTCTACATAGCTTCATTTCTGTTCTTCATGCTTAGCTCCTTTGTCTGATTTCTCTCTCCTCTTTTCTGCTGTTCTAAGTTCTGCCTTAATTCTCCCATCTAGTTCTTTCTCATCTTGTTCTTTCCCATCTCATTCTTTTTCATCAAGCTCTTCCTCATCTTCCATCTCATTCTTCTAGTTCTTAATCTAGTCCCACCTCAAGCCTCTGAGGTTTCCAGTTATATACCCATACAAGCAGCAATTCTCTGCCCAAGACAAGGTGACACAGGCTTGAATTCTTACAGGGTCAAAAAGGAGGTGATAAGGTCTACACAAAGAGCAGTAATTGTCAACTATCATTTGTAACCCCAAAAGGGGAGTAATTAAAGGAGGTGGGGTCAACTAAGGGCTTAAATCAGTTAATAGATCAAAAAGGGAAATGTATGTGCTCAAACTATATTCTTAGAAGTGGTTAGGTAAAATGTTAGGAGTTTTATGTCACTAAGTCATGGGTAAAATAAAACTGCTTTTTTTTTTTTCCTTTGGAGCCGCATCTGTCTCAGCCTAATCTCGTTACATCGTTATCGGGCGGGGGGGCAGTAACTAGGCAGCCTGTGTCACAGCTTGATGTACCTGGTGTGTAAAAGCCCTCTTGTTCTGAGATCACTGTTAAAGGGGACGTCTAGGGATACCACTTGGGCTATGGGAGAAAGGAAGGTTTAAGCTTAATTTGCACAAGAAACAAGGCTTTGTGCCTAATATCCGCCGGCCTTGGGGGTTGTCTCCTTATGGATATTTACCTTATTTTAAGGAGACTAGCAGGGGGTCTGGATGCTTACCTATCTGCAGTGTGTCCTTGGATGTTTGAGAGCTATCTCAGAAAAAAATGCTTTTGTCTGGAGATGGCCCTGGCCCTGGATACTTGCTAAGTGAGATGATTACAGAAGGCAGGCATCTGAGTCTAATACTGAAAAGGGGAAACAAAAGCCTAGAAAAAAGAAGTCTTGCCCGTGTGACTGTTGTCAACACAGTTGGGGGAAGTTATCCGAATACCTTAATTGTATAGGGAAAAACTGTGCCTGATGAATGATGAACCACACAGCTAGAAGTTCTTAGATCAAATGGGAAAGCTATAATATCACACATGAAATTCATAGCAGGAAACAGCTAATATTCAAATGCCAATATCACCAAGTGGAAAGGGCCCTTGGCTTCTTCCAGGTATTAGCTTTGTCATAGTCAGCTGAATTCCTACTTCATATTTCTGTGGCCCTCAGCAAGCCACTTGATATTTGACAAAGATGCCAAAAATATATATTGGAGAAAAGACAGCATCTTCATCAAATGAATTTTTAATTAAAATGTAATTACATCACACCTTTAATCCCAGCACTCAGGAGGCAGAGGCAAAATAAATCAGAGCATATCTATTTGTGAACCTAAAACAGTCTTATGGATGGGGATATTTTTAAAAAACATTTTTCCTATCAACCCCTTTGATTCATCAATGTCTTTTGATGCTCCTTGCAGTATCTATTGTCTAAGCACTTATTTTGCTTTATTTGTAACTATTACACAGAAAGAAAAATATCTTTCAAAAGAATATAATGGGAGGTAGAAGCAGGTGGATCTCTGTGAGTTCAAGGACAGCTTGGTCTACAAAGTGAGTTCCAGGGCAGCACTAGCTGCCCTGTTTCAAAAAACCAAAATAAATAAAATAATAAAAAATTTAAAAAAGAATACAACAGTTACATTACAAGCAAAATAATGCATCTCATAAATTTATCCCTTTTCCAACTTTAACAAGAGTATTGGTGTCAAAATGATGATTCATACTTCACAAGTTCTCCAAACATTTCATCTCGTAGCTTCAATTGTACCCTATTTATAAATGAAGTCTTTATTTGCTGAAACAAATTATATAATTTCCCAACTTTAAAAATATGTTCTTTGACTGCTCTTCCAGAGGTCCTGAGTTCAATTCCCAGCAACCACATGGTGGCTCACAACCACCTAATGAGATCTGGTACCCTCTTCTAGTATGCAGGCATACATTCAGATAGAATACTGTATATATATGTTCAATTATATTTTACTAAATTAGTAGACAATTCATTTTCATTGTGATGTATAGTTTCCACTCTTATCTGTACCATGATCTAGATTTCAATCACATTCACACAACTGGCTTTTCCTCCTTGCACAGAGAACAGGAGAGCTAATGCAAATCACTGAAAATACTACGGTAAGCTTCTTCCATACAGGTCT